AGCAGTCCGAACGAAGACGGCGACGACGGGACTCGTGCCCGAGTTCGCTCGTTGGGACTCGACGGGCCGACGGCGAAAAGATAGGGACTGAGACGACCGCTACTGGAGCGCGTCAGCGTCTGTGTCCGGTAGGGCGGCCAAGTGGCCTCTTGGCGGCAGATGCACTCGACGAGGTCATGACACCGCGAGACCGGAGGGGTGGGGTAAAAGTCGCCGAGTGGTACCGGCGGCAGAGGCAGGGCCGGACGGCCGGCTCGTGTCTGAGCGGAGCTGGGCTCGAGTCCGGCCCGGCGGTCGGCGTGCAGCAGGGGGCTGGGAATGTAGGTGGTCACCCAGTGGCCGATGGGTCCGCGGGTCTGCCAGTCGTCAAGGCGTTGGTAGACCTCGCCGGTGCGCACATACACGCCGTCGGGCCAGCATCTGTCGGCGACGTAGCGCGAGACAAAGTCGAGCCGGGCGGTGGGCGATCTGCTCTTGCCGGTCGCCAGCGGCGCCGGTCTCGGCTGACGACAGACCTGGTGACCGGGCGTGGCCATGTTGCCCGACGACAGAGGGCTCGAGTCGGCCGGTTCGTAGGCCTCGGAGTCGGAGGTCTGGTCGCTCGGCGCGGTCGAGTTGACCGAGGCGTAGGCGGTGCTGCTGTACTGGGCTCGGCGGAGGGCACGACTCCGGACGGTCGGTGAGACAGACGAGCGGGTTCGACGCCCGCCCCGCCGCGGCGACTCGGTGTTGATGGCCAGAGAGCGTGACCGATAGGGCAGATGCACCGAGAGGATGGGTGCTGCTGCGTGCACGAGGCGAGCCGTGAACCGGTCGTTTGTTGCCCTCGGCGACTCGGACAGACTTGTGTTGCCACCGGCCTCGGGGCGTTGGGCAGAGCTGGGTTGGCCGAGGTTGGAAGGCTCGAAGAGATTGGCCGACGGCGAGTGAACCGAACGGTCGAAGGGATTCAGCAAAGGACAACCAAATCCGAACTGGTGCCAGACCGACCGGCAGCTGCTGGCCGGTTTCAGGACAGAAAACGCCTCCTCCTCCTCCTCGTCGATGAACTGAGGCGGAGGGGGCAATGGCAACGGCGGCGTCGAGCTGTTGCT